TAGTCTTAGCTAAGCAGAAAAGTGGGGCTAGTATCAGGTGGGCACCTGGACCTAATATCATGTCTTCTAGGTCCTCGTTCCACGCTGGCCCGTCGTTCCGCAGCGGGAGAGTTGCTCAATCAGGCAGAGGCAAGCTTCTTCATCGCGGCGTCGCCTCTTTTTCTTGGTGCCAATTGGTCTATTGTGCCCGCGGCTGGCTGAAGCGCCTCCGTAAGCGTAGACCGAAGCATGACCTTGTCAATTGAGCAAGGAAAGCTACAGACGGTTGGACGTCATCGGTCGCACGTGGGGGAGCTACCAGTCTTAAATTCTGGACGTCTGGACTCTGCAGCCTGCTTGATCGAGATGCTTGCCCTCCTGTCTTGTTTCCCGTCATTTCTCACAAGGTATCCCATTGAGGTCGAAGGCGGCATTCTATATTCCTCTGTCGAGGGTTGAACCGGCTGCAGCAATGCGTCGTGCTTGTCTTGTCCTGGGGCTTGTGGGCTTGGCCGAGGTGGCTGTTGCGGGATTGTATCCGGGAATTACGCCCGATAACCACACCTGTGCTCTCGGTACGTGACGCTTGGGCTTCTGCAGCTGCCGTGTCGATTTTGTATTGTGTGTGTACATGTTAACAGGTGCGGTGTGAATACTGTAGTCGAGCCGGTGCTTTCTTGCTCGTGCAAAGCGAAGCTCGACAAGGTCAAGGACACGTGCTGCGTTGAGACGTTTGGCGGCCTGTTGGTTAGTTTTGCGCGCCTCCAGACCTTGAATGCCTGAATGGAACTCGAGCATCTGACGGAATTGCTTCTCAACAGGTGGCCACTCAACTGTGGAGCACCTTCACCGGGCTGGAAGACAAAGGCCAGATCTATCCCAAGAACGACTGGTCCATCCACGGCCTGTGGCCCGGTAAGCAAGCAAGCCATCCTCGCGCCTGTGCGGAAAACAGCAGACAGACTCATTTCTAACACTGCACAGATTTCTGCAACGGTACAGCTAGCTTCCCGCACCTCTCTGTTTCCTCCCCGCAATCTCTTTCAATAACATCTAACTCATGTCCAGGCTCGTACACGCAATACTGCGACCTAAGCCGTCAATATGACCCCAAGCCCTCCCCCAACACCACCAACGGCCAGCCTGGCGGCACCCCCGTCCCAGCATACAAGGGCGAATCCATTGAGACGTGGTTCGGGCCCTACGGCAAGCTCGATCTCCTCGCCTACATGAACAAGTATTGGGTGAGCCAGCTCGACCCCAACTGGGTCTTCTGGGCGCACGAGTTCTCCAAGCATGCCACCTGTTTCTCTACCTTCCAGAAAGAATGCTACGTAAGCACATCGCCTCCCTTGCTCGACAACCACACAAGCCGCCTTGGGCTTGAGCCCCCCCTGAGCTCTTGACATTGACTCACCCCGTGGCACAGGGCCCCAAGGCCGCTGAGCACGACGACCTGTTCGACTTCTTCGAGACAGTCGTCGCCTGGCAGCGCCGCCTCCCCTCGTTCCGCTGGCTCAGCGACGCGGGCATCCGCCCTTCCAACAGGACCAGCTACACCCTCTCTGACATCCAGCACGCTCTGACCAAGGAATTCGGCCAGCAGCCCTTCATTGGCTGCGGCGGCCCCAAGTACAACGAGACAGAGGCCGGTAAGGGATCAAAGGATAATGGGCGCACGGAGATCAACGAGCTTTGGTATTTCTACCACGTCAACGGGACGCCTCAGCGTGGCGATGCGGAGAAATTGGATGCTGGCAAGGCGGGTGGCCGGCTGACGACTTGTGCGCAAGCCAAGGGTGCCATCAAGTATTATGAGCGCACCAAGGGGAGCGAGGAGTGACTCCTAGAATAATGAGCTTTTTGGAATGTAAATAAAAGCAAGTTTATTGTGGTTGGAGATGCCATGAATACACACACACACACACACACATATATGCAGTTCTCTACGGGTTCGTCACATCAAGCTTGCCCTTTTTTTTTCTTTTTTTTCTTCTTTTTCTTCTTTTTTGGCAAACATGACCTTTTATCATGATTCAATTCCTACTCTCCTACTCTGTCAATCTAGAGACAGCTCCTGCTCCTGCATCCACACCAAAAGCATTGCCTCATCTCTCCAACACAATTAAACGCCATCAGGTCTCCATAGAAATCTTTTTATTCTTCCACCTGCTCATCGGCCCCACAACCCGTTCGTCGCCTTATACGCTTTACTCGTCGTCAGCAAGCTCCTCAACCTTGGGAGCTTCGTAGTGCCGTTGCTGGACATTGCCAACATTGATCTGGGTATCAGTGCCTGTAGTTGTCGCAGTGGTTGGTGCTATCTGACCAGTCGAAGCGGCAAAGGCATTGTTAGGGACTTTGCCCGAAGCGCGGGCTGCGGATTTAGCCTTCTTCTTCTTCTTCTTGTCGGCGGCAGACTGGGCAATCTGTTAGCATGTCTGGTGTTGCGTCATTTGTCAAGGACCAAGGCCGACTTACCTCATGCCAGGCCCAAACAGGTCGGAAACTATCCATAAACGACACATCTTCCCAAAGGTTGGGATACAGCCAGAGACCGGGAGGCACAGCAAAGTATGTAACGCAGAAGAGGATGACACGGAAGATAGCCATGAGGAAAAACAGACCCAGGAGACCAAGAAGACCCCAACTAAGGTAGTAGACACCTTGTCGCAGCTTCAGTGGCCACAAGGGATAGAGAACTATGATGAAGATCAGGACCAGTGCCAAAGCGGCATACAGCTGGCGCTTCACTTGGCTGCCTTCCCATAGCCACACGTAGTACATGTCGTCACCAGCATCCTGCTGTTGCTCAATGCGAACGTTCCATTGGCCCTTTGTTCGCTTGGGTTTCTTGCCATTGGGTCCTTCTTCGGGTTCAATCTTGCTGACTCTCAGAGCAAGCATGCTTAATGGAAGGAGTTTGAAGGCGTTCTCGAGCGATGCCCGGTCCGTGATTTCGGGTAGGAGAGGGTTCTTCTTTCGTGCTTTTTCGTACGCTGGCGTTTGTAGGGCTCGCAGTGCTCGCTTGACTGCGGAAATCAGGGTTAGCTCGACATGTTTTTTGCAGCTCAACGGCCGACATACCTCTAAACATATCCTTTCGCTCTCCGTTCAGAATACTCGTACGAGGTTTAAGGTCCTGGCCTTTCAAGAACTTGGCTAGTGCTAGAGCCTTGGGGTTTGGAGGACCAGGGACAATTGGCTGAGGCTGTCCTTGCTGGTGATTGTGATGGTGGTGTCCGTCGCCGTGATCATGGTTGCAGTGTTCTCCATGAACGTGTTCGCCTGTCTCAGCTTGCTGCTGCTGCATCATGCGCATTCGTTGCTGCTCCATCGCCTGTTTCTTGATGTGCTCAATGAATTCGGGAACAGTCATCCCGGCCTTTTCAGCATCCTCAGCAACCCGCCGCTGAATCTCGGCAATCTGCTCAGGCGTGGGACGCTGGCCAGGCATTGGCATGGGAATGCCGCCTTGAGGAGGACCGTTGGGCGGCGGCGGTGCTGACATTGTGAATTAGGGCCTGAGCCGCGATTAGGTACAACAAAGCGAATGTATCGGTCTTGTAATAAATAAGTAAATGGGAGCGGCAGGTTCAACGCCGTACGGAAAAAGTGGTGGAATCAGACGGGGGAGGCACTAAGAACAAGGTGAGATGTGGCCCTCTGGCATCATTATTTTACCATGCTCACTGACAACAAGGTGTTCACTTCCCAAAGCCGGCCCACGGGCGCCTTGGGCTCGTGGGCCGGATCGTCTATTCCCCGTGGTCCGGCAGACGGACTAGCAGCTGACAGTGCGCAGTCACAGTGCATTTTGCCAACTTGCACCTCCAGATGTCAATGCGAAACCAGGCAATCGCAAGTGTCCAATCACTGGCAATCAGCCTCCAAACAACAAGCCGTGAGCTGCTCTGAACTGCTTTGTCGTGGCCTCGCAATTAATCGCATTCCACCCAGCGCATAATGGGCGATCGGTTAACACAGCTGCAAGACGCAGTTGACCAGGTATTGCAACCGCCACCGCTGCGTCACCCTGTGGACGTCAACCAACTAACCCTCTGGCACAGCTCGCGCAGCAGTTCGTCGCATGTTTGCATTTCGTCCAGAGACGGCACGATCTCGAGACGCTGGGTCCAAACGACAAAGTTAGAGACATAAAACAGGAACCTCATCAGAGGGAAGGTGAGGACATGAAGCACAGCCAGCGCCCAATTGTTGTACGTGGCACTGACGATCTGCGGAGTCGACCCATTGCCTGCGGATGAATTCGCTGCCGGGCTTAAAGAGCTATCGCGTGACCTGATAATCAAAGAACAGCAAATAGAGGTGTTAATATCGAACCTCCCCGGGCTAGACAACAGCGAACGAGACCAAGAACGAAATATCAAGGACCTCGAGGAGGACCTGAAGGCGGCAGAAGCGCAACGGCAAGATGCTCTGAAGGAGAGAGATCAAATCCTGGCCGAGTTAGACTCTGTTATCCGCAGCGTCCGGCGGCCATGAAGTAATCCCTCGAACGTGTAGGGCCTTGGTGATATTCATTGCATAGCGTGGCGTTGGGGACGATTTTCAACCCATGAGCTCACAGTCGTGGGGTCATGCCTGGAGCTGTTTATGAATGATGAATTATTTTGTTATATGGCATCTATTGTTACGTCCACATCTACGTGAAATCTAGACCTTGGCAAGAAAGGTCCAAAGTTGAACAGGCCCTTGCCTCGACGCTTTATTCCGCTGGCTCTCTCTCTATATCCCGGTGGAGGAAAATCAAACTCTGCGCTCAAACCGGTTTAAAGAACTGCGGGTAAACGGCTCGCAGTTCACTTAGGTGGCGAATCTGGAACTGCGAAGCTGTCTTTTCAGGTACCGGTAGACCTTCTTCGACCAAATGCGCTGCAGTCCAGCCGAAATCTCTGGCTTTGGTGCAGTTTAAATACGAATCATCTGCCGGTTATTAGTAAGGGACCTGTCTGCCGATATGGCCTCCAGATATGAAAGGCGGCGTTCACATACCAACAAAGTAGCAGTCTTTGACGTCGCTGACACCAGCTTCACGCATGCCCTTTTTGTACATGTCAGGGTGCGGCTTGCAGATCAGGGGCATTTGTGAGTAGTCACAGTAGGTGAGACCATCAAAGAGATCCTCAATGCCAAGGAGGCGGACAACCCTCTTGGCATGGGTGACGTAGGCATTGGTAAAGAGCCAAATCTTGACCTTGGATTTGTCAATACCCTCCAACAGTTTCCGCAGCTCCGGGTCAGGTTTGATAATGTCTTGTAGTGGTAAGGCGTCGTCGACCTCGGCATTATATTCCAAAGGGTTGATCTGGTGGTGGCGGACAAGGCCTTCAATGGCCAGCCCATAACTAGTGTAGTACTCCTTGTGAAGCCTGACAGCTTCCTCCCAGGGAAGGTCAAGGTGTTTAGCAAAGTACTTGTCAATCAGTTCTGCCATCAGGTCCTGGACTTTGGTGCCTTTGGGAAAAGTTAGCACATGCGCTGACTCATCGACTATCATGGTCAAAGGCTCACTTCGTGAGTAGAGACAATTGTCAATATCACTTTCAAAGTAAAGATGCCATTAGTCCCCGTGATTTCAGTAAGTAACTTCCGTATAATTGCACGTTGCACATACAAGAAAAGCACCGGTTTGCCGGGCCCTGTTCCGTTAACGACAGTCATGGTCTGAATAGGATGTGAGGCGGCAGAAAGCGGCGGACGCTGCTGGCAGCTTTTGGGGAGTCGAAATTGATGATTGGGTCGAAGGCGCGGAGAGTAGACAAAACGGCCCAAAAGATGAGAACCCGTACGCCTCATATGTTGTTGAAGAAGAGAGTATTAGGCCTCGTTTTCGGAGTTGCATGGCGAATGGAGTTTCTGCACGTGTGTTGGTTGACTCGGGGTGGACTTGGACCTGCGCCGTGCAGATCAGCGAGTACGGACGGAGGTTAGTAGGGTCCATGTCCTGATGTCCTCTGATAGGATGACCACTTGGGCAAAGAAGTCCATCCTGGACTGCGCAACGCACTTGATGCGGCGCAGGATTTTAGCCAATAGACTACGTGGGTATACAGGAGCTACATATTTAAACCAAAGTTATGTGCCATGTATTATTTTGGCACTGAGACCTTGCCGAAGTTGATTTTCTTGTCAGTGACAGCAGAGTACCACGGTGTCCGGAATACGGAGTCTACATGAAGTCTGGTGGCCAGCCCGATGCTAACCAGCCTGTAATAGCCCCACATGCACTATTATACAGTGCAGCTGAAGATCAATTTGATATTGAATTTGTTACCGAGTACTGACAAGCGCTTTGCGGGCTTAAATGCACATCAGATACTGTGACTGGTAGGTTGAAGTACTTAAAGATAGAGTCTGATGCAACGCCCCGTATACACATAGATGGAGCTTCCAAGCTACGGAGTACCTACTAGGTACCTGGGTAATAGTCTCTACCTTTTCACCTCTGTCACTCTCGTCGTCAGTCTTGAACCATCGTTGCCTCGGACCTCATTTGTTCTGTCGCCATTAGCACTGGATATTACGGAGTACGACTTTCCGAACAGAGACAAAAAAAGAGCAATAGCTTTCAAATGTGAGGACCCTCAATAAGGATGTATTGTTCCGATCTGAGCCCTGACTCTGAAGATGAAAACGGATCTTGGAGGTAGTGCAAAGTTACTCCGTAAGTACACCATTGCCCTTTGAACGAACCAGCTGACCCAAACAGGCTGAACCTTCTTTGGCCTCCCTCCGGGTGTGACCAGCTCTTTGCCGCCTGCTTGTCCCACATGCAAATGGACCCGCATGAAACACTTTAGTGTCTGGAATAGCAGCAGCTGACTGGCCTGGAGGCCCCCCTTGCCTCAAGTTACTCAAAGGGCACCGTCGCAAGAATTTTGCCGGAGCGACACGTGCTCACCGCCCAATTCTTTGGGGTTGTATTCCGTACTTACCCAGCTTCGTCCGGACATCTGATGGTATGAACATTCTTGATTTATTTCTTCTCCTAACTTGTTAATCGGCCATCTACTGCACCCTCGCGCCGCAAATCGCCAGAAAGTTGTTATTACGTCATGGCAAGCGAATGCCAAGCTCTGCTGAGATTGTCATAGGTGCTTGTACAGGCGCACTTCTGCATTCCTAGTACTCCAAGGAGTTCATCGAGAGACTCGTGGATTGCCTGGACGGAATCCCGAGTTTGACGCGGTGTGCTGCGTGCAATGGCCCAGGCAGAGTCGGCAGCCTACGCGCCCACAGGCGCTGGGCTTTCGTCGACAAATTTGTCTGCTGAAGAAATTTTTGAGATTCAGCAGTACAGGAGGATTGTACAACTTCGCGATGCTATTTTGTCTGGCAAACATCCCACGCTGAAGCCACCGCCAGGGTCGAACACATCGCTAGAACCGTTGTCGCTTCGAAAAACCGCGCTGGAACCGAGATCGGAGGCAAGGCAGACTCGCGGTAGCAATGGCAATGGCGATGGCAATGGAGATATCTCCTCCGCTGCTTTTACCCAGCCTAATTCTGGCCCTCCCGAGCTGAACCCAATCTTTCTGGAAAAATCTGAGTCGCTCGTTAGAGCCGAGCTGCAGATCCAGCGGCAGCGCTTGGAACGCGCCATCAAGGAAGAAGTGGAACAGCGTCGGGCTGCAAAAAATGGCTCGGCAGAGCTCATACCTGACCTCGATTTATCTGATGTGCTCTCAAGAGCCCTTGTTTTGGCTCAGACTACGTCTGTACCAATCACCCATGGTGAGAACTTGACCGCTAATGCCGAAGCCACCAGTGATTCTTTGGACGACAGCACTTTTTATTCGTCTCGTCATGACACTCCCGAGTCTCATCTAACCTCACGTATTCGTAATCAATCTGAAGGAATTCAAACTACTAACTCTCAAGAACTTGATGTTGGAGAAGCCTCTCAACAGGCCAAAAACTTGTCACCAAGGCCTCACGATGATAACGGGGGCACAACGACTGGAACCTGTCCACCGCAGCTGAACGAGATCAATCATCTTCCGGAGACGGCAAGCGCCTCCAGACCTCCTTTCGCGAGCGTTGTTCCTGGGCTAAACAATTACGTCCAGGGAGCCAGCCAAACCAGGAGCAATGTTGCGAGCCAATCTGGAGAGAAAGATCATTTGGACGTGGAAGCAGCTAAGGATCACGAGCCATCGAATGCCTCTCATCATGGTAACAATGAACATCTTGACAGCCGCCCACCGTCCCCTCTCGTTCGAAACCATACCTTGCAACCTGTTGCACCACAGCCCACTCACCCTTCCGCTCTTAGCGCGTTGGCGACTGCGTCGTCGACGGTACATGATACGCCCATAGTTGGTGGCCGAAGCGGTATGGGCACTCTCGCACAAGTTGCCGCACTCAGAACCGAATCGAACATCGTAATTAGTCCCGATAGCTCCTCGCAGGGCGGAAAGAAGAAAGGGAAGAAGAAAAAGAAAAGGAAGGCAGACAGGCAAGCCCCAGAACCGGAGGCAGCTCCATACATCAAGCCTGAACCTAGATCGCCTTCACCGTTGACAGCCTCGTCTTATCTCCGCCCAACCAAGCGCCCTAGGCATGAGCAAGAGCCGCCTGTCAACGCCCAGCTCGAACCGCGGTATGTTCAGGATGATGGAGTCCAGTACATAACAAGACAGTACAGAGAAGAGCCGATACCAGTAGGATATGCCAGACCGGCTGCTTACCATCAGCCGCAGCCTGGTGATGTACGGTATCATAGTGGGGAGTACTACGATGTGCGACAGGTCCGTGGTGAAGATTTAGGGCCTCGTCCAGCACAGGTTGAGCATTCAACAATGTCGTACCCGGCTCGAGCCACGCCCGTCTCAAGATCAATTTCGCGGGTAATGGTGACTGATCCCTATCCGGCCCCCTCACGCCAATACCGTGAATATCGTGACGGCCCTCGAATGGCTGGTCACACAGAGGGCGACACATTCATCGCACCCTCGAGGTCAGCCCATACAAGGATATTGGTCGATGCCCATGGCCGTGAGTATATTGAGCCACTCCATCACTCACCATCTCGCATCTCTGCTACTTCCCCTTCCAGGCATGGTGAACATGAAGTGCTGTACGAACGCCTACCGCCCCGTGCCGTGTCTCGCCATCCTGCTCCGGGGCCCTATGAAGACGACGGCGTTGTTTACGCATCGTCTAACCAAACCTACGTCGTGCCTCGCCGTGTCGTAACACAGCCAGAGTATGTCGGCCATGATTACAGAGACGTATGGAAGAGGGAGATTTCGGCGAGAGGGCCACCACCTCATGGGGGATTTGTCCAAGTATTAGCTCCGTCAGAGAGAAGATACATTGAAGAAACCTATGGAGGTGGTCAGTCCAGTATGCGTCCAGTGGAAACCGTTCGATATCAGCTGCCTGCGGAGTATGGACGTGTTCCTAGTGTCCGACCAGAGGCGCAGGGAACAACAGATTTCAGAGCCAGTGCCCATCCAGATGGTCACCATGAAGTGCTCCAACCCTATATGAGAGAGTATCGTCCTGGTCAAATCCAAGAGCCCGTCGTGCAGCGAGGATTTAGCGCTCGACCAGGGGATCGTCCTTTAAACGGGCAGACCCGGGCCGGGGAAGAGATTGCATTTATTGAGCGGCCTCGTGGAGCCACTCAGGAGATAGTATATGCGGATGATATGAGGCGAGAAGTGTATAGATGATCGTAAAGGAGTCTAATGTCGACGATCTTGGGGTCAGTGATCCCGAAGAGGTCCGGGTGTTAGACTGATTTGGCTGAACCTGTTGTCGGATAGATACCCTCAATGAAATATATGTACGGTTACGCAGTCACCTTTTGAAGCAGGCATCATGAAGCATCATGAAGGAAAGTCAAGGACTTGTAATCCGTGTTGTCTAACGGGCACGTGTTCCCCTTGCAACGCCTCGATGTATAAGTGAACATTACCTTCAAATTTCGAAGTGTCGAGTTGCCGCGTGGCTTGTTGTTACTATTGGGTTTGGTTGCTTCCAATTTCTCTCATGCACAACGTGGGCACAAAACGTTGGGCAGTTGTATATTGCTCAGAACGTTGTAATCAAGTACTTCTTGCACTTCGCATACCCAAACTATTTTGTTCGACCTGGTAGCCCGCCGCTTGAGTCAATCTTGCATATTTGCAGCCTGCGCCTGTACGGAACACTTGGGAACCCCCGAAAGATGAAATCCTCAAAGATCTGCTGTTAGAATGCAATCATAGACCGGCTGGCTGGCCAACCTCGTGCGTACACAATGAGAAACCCATTCTCAATTATAAAGACGTTATCGGGAGATTCTAGCACTGCAATGTGCCTTTTCAGGCTTGGCAAGAAGGCAACACCTTGGGCCATGGAAATTTAACGTGCCCATCTCTTGCTACGGAGGATAAATGAATAGACTCATTGATGTCATTTCCCCCATCTTCCTCCACTACATTTATTCCTCTTTGATTACGTGTCCCCGAACTGTCTGGTGGCATCTAACATGGCTCATTAACGATCTGCCGAGGTACTGCGGCATTTCGTGCCCAGAAGCCCAGGCAAGTACGGCAAGAGCACTAAGCCGGACACGTCTCCAAGGCTGAGCCAGAGTATCCAAGCGTTGGACCAGAACGGCAGGCACATTCGACATGTCGCTACGGCATATCAATCTGTACATACAATATTGAAGTTGCTCTGACTCAATACTACTCCGTAAGTCATTCCCAGTTCGGACGAATCGAAACAGAGACAGACCCCTTGTCGCATCGGACGGCCCGTCTAGCTTTGAGACACTCCATTCTATAAATGACGGAGAAAACTGCAACACTCCCCAGCACTCGAGTGAGGAAGACGATCACTAGATACTGTGGGGTACTCTCGGGACGACGGAACACGGGAGATAAAGGCACACTTGGCTCGAGTAGGTGGGCAGTGCCAGATGCTGTTTGAACAGAGATGGGCAGGGGCAACGCCAAACTTAAGATCCCGCACGAGAACACCAAGAGGGAGACCAAAGATTCCCCGGGCCTCGCTCTCGAAACCGGCACTCAATTCGCTCATGCAGACACGAGACACTCGGGCCAGTGGAAATAGTATTGAAGTTTGGAGTACTTTGACCTGCTTGCGAGCCAGAGACTTCAAGGACCTGCATGCAAATTGTCCGTGGCCGTAAGTGGCTGGCCGCCTATCGGTCTCCCGGCAAGGAATGGAAGGGAATGACGGCCGCCATCCAGCAATCTTTACCGCGTTGTCCTGATAATAACAAACCACCAATCTCCCCTCTACCGGGAGAGACGGAACAAAACGCTGGCGGAAACAACGCACAGTGCGCACCGAGCGTTTGCCTTGCCCCTCGCCCCAGGGTTTGTTTGAATTGGAGCAGTCCAAAGGCTCTTGGGTTTGTTGGGTACGTACCTTAGGTAGGTATGTACATACCATCGCAGAACAAGTAGACTACTGCTACGTCCATGATCGTAATGTTGGCATACTGACTGTTGGCTAAGTTTTCACCAAACAAATCCCCAAAGAACCTATCAATATGCTCCGGTCATGTGGTTTGTTGTGACCCAGGAAATATGTAATAGATGCAAAGACCTCGGCCACTCGAATAGTCTGCTCTCCGTCAAGTACTCCGCACAATCCAATCAATCCATTTGGTCTATACTCCGTTCACGACATTGGAGGCACGAATCCACTAGGATCATCGAGCTGAAAATCCGTCCACGAACCCAAATTTACGTATCACCTGGCTGCGATAAGACGCTCGAGTGCTCCGTACATAGCAAAGTTACGAAAACAACTGCATGTTGTCCGAACCAAATGCTCGCCAGGACTCCTGTCGGCACCTGCAACAACATTCGAGGCTCGAGGATGCATATGGTTTATTGGAGAGAGCTTGGACCACCAGACCTCTCCCAAGTAGCCGCTAGCCATGTGGAGAGCTGGGATCGCAATTGCATGTGCCTTCTCAGCCGGGCAATCCTGCAAGCACAAGGGCCCCGGTTGTGTGTACTGGGCCAGGCACTTTGTGGATGATGACAGCTCAAGTGGAAGACGCTCTGAACAAGGGAAAGGAGCAGGCCTTCCCGCCAGCGTGTCGACAAAGCTGCTAATGAGCAGGCCTGTCTGCCGTTGGACGGGTCTCACATGGCGTTCGATACGTACGCGTAGCCAGCAATACAGTCCCAATCCGACGGATTGTACTTACTAGCACTTAGACACGCGTCTCTTCCTCCCTGCAACTTTCTATTTACACCATTGCCCATGTCACGAATGTTCGTGTTCACGAGACTGCCAATGGACCAAGACATGGTTTTGGCAGGCAGCCGTCCTTTTGGGTAAGACAAACCGGACCTGTCGATGGGGCAATGAAATCGACTTAGTCGTGTCGTCATTGGCTGTCAGGGTGTCTTCTCGACTGACTGCACGCCAATTCTGACATGGAGCCCGCAGCCACCGAGCGTTGCTTGCGTGCATGAGACGCAAGCACCAAAGTCCGAGTGCAGAGTGGACAATTCTTGATGGAGAACTCTGCTAGGCTTCGTACATGTACCTAGGTAGTCGTGCATTAGCCACTGGGTCTTCCAAGGCATTTCAATGGTCCTCCAAAAGGACAGGCTGGTCAGGACTGACTTCAACGTTCTGCAGCACAATTTGCCATGGCCCGAGTAACGGCAGTCAGTGGCATGGAATAATATCGGAGGGCCTGTCGACATGCCTTTTGACCCTGTTTGCCTGGGCAGAATCGGTGTACCTGACGCCAAACCTCCACCCTTCAGCAATGGCCTTATGATCTACCACTCACAGGCCAGATTCCACGTTGGCAGGCGTGCTTCGCCCACTTGTGAAGGGGCTGCCCTTGCTGCGTCCAACTCTGGTTCGTTCAATGATCGGTGTCCTTGTGAAGGCTTCGCACTTACTCCCCTGTCACGGCAGCGACAGTCAATGTTGGGGATGCGTTCCAGTGCCGAACACATCCCAAGTTCTGAAGCTGGCGGTGCCAGCCCATTCATGCCCACACGGGCGGGTCCGGGATACCTGGGTGCGTGGCAAAGTACTCAACATTGAAGTAAGTACTGGTACCCAGGCACCTCCTACAGGGGGATGAATACCTGCACCTCAACGCACAATTTACCGAGTACGGAGTACAGTTTGCGGCATTGGGGCTGTTACGCGCTGGGATCGAGGGCGTCAACTGGTCCATGTCAGCAGGGCAGGGCTAGGTGCTGGGATGTTTCTGAAGGTTCCATCCAGTTCGAACCAGTTGATGTCGTTGGGTCCTAGTGTCGACTTCCACTGCCTGCTCAAGTGAGCAGGTGGTTGGTCGATTCAATGGTCTGGTAATCTAGTACGCCGTATGTCAAGTACTCGGTACTTTGAAACTTGAGTAGCTTAAGTGCTGGTCCAGTGTACTCAAGTACTAAGTAGTATTGACGGAATACTTCTGTACGAGTACTTTGTACTTGGCACTATCAATGGGTGTCCCTGCGACCAGCAAGTGAGCGTTCGAGCTCGGAGACTCCCCACCACACGAAAGCGGGCAGAACCTAAAAGGACCAGACCATTCATGTTCCCAGCTGTCCATGGGTGACTGCTTAAGCAATGTTGCGTGCCAAGTTCCATCAATACCACTTGCTGCCCACAGTCAGACAGATTGTTGGTGTCCCGTCATCCTCACGTATTCTTGCCATGCTTTGAAGAGGTCTGTTGAGTCTTGTCCTTGGAGCACGACGTCGTGGCAGTCTTCCAACGCTTGAGAAGGCTGGATTTTGGCCTTTCCGTTTTGGCGAATGCCGCATGTTGCGTTGAATCCAAATTTAATGTCAGCTCATCATGGGCTCTCGTAATTGGACCGCTCCAAAGTCCTGAAGCAGCCCCAATTGCTGACGTTGGTTGCTTTGCGACCTGGGAGGGCCCTTTTGCATTGCCTGATTCTGTTCATCTCTTTGGCTCAGTGTCTGGCTTGAGTGTTGCGCCGTGCAGTTGCTCCGTATTCGCACCATCACACAAACCTGAGTCCCTCCCTGCCCAGAGAGAGACCCAACCACGCCGGCGTGTCGGCCATGCTCCACGTCGGTCCTGGCTGGCATGTTTGTACCGCGATGTGGTGCTGCCGAGTCCTGCCAATGATCTGCCCACTTCGGACCGTAGATTGTAGACTGGAGCCTACAAAGGCTACAGACTGTAGACCTGGTGGGCCAGCTGGGCTCTGGCTGTCTTCGTGTTGACGTTATTGTCCTCGTCCCAGGTCCATGGAGGGCGATGGCGTGGCTCGCTTCGTAGTAAGAAGCCTTTTTATCGGCACATGTAACAGCCAAATCCTGCCTGCTCCAGCACTGAGTCTTGGTGCTCATTAGTTATTTGTTGCTTCAATGGATATCGATGCATGTACTCGCTTGATATCCTTGTGCTAACATGAGCTAAGCTGTGTTGGATGTTAAAGGCATGGCCTGGCAGGTTGGCAGGCCCTGCTCAGTCCCCACTCCCTCCGCCTCTCCGCCCTCCTCGCTCACTTGCACGTCCTCATCCTCATCCTCGTCGTCTCCTCTCTTCTTTTCAACACCAACCGACGAAACAACCCATTCAACCAACAGAGAGGATCAGGAAAAGGAAAAGGACCTGCGTGTCAATCTTCTCTTCCCCTTTTCTATTCTCCCCTTCCCATACCCTCCCGCCCCCAGATTCTGTTTTCTTCACTTCCACCCAACGCATCGGATCCAGCTTTCCGTCGTCGATACCCCGGATACCCTCTCTTTCTTTCTTTATTTGACAATTCGCTTCGATTCTGCGCTTGTTGCCTGCGTTTTTGATGGTCTGCTCCTTGCCCCGGTGATACCCAAGCAGCCGTCTCTTTTTTTCTCACCCCAAGGTCACCGTTTCGCGCCCGCTAGTGCCTTCGCATGTCGCCTCTTCGTTGAGTCTGTGTCACCAAGCTGCTTCTACGCCCGCCCCGTCGTCGACAACAGGCCCTCCTAGCCTTGCCTTCTCGTGCGTTTTTGCCCACTCAATATGAACAAGCTGGCCAACATGCGTCACTGGTCCGAGAGGATGAGCCCGAACTTCGGAATGGGTCGTCCTAACATGCCTATGAATGGCCTCAACCCGCATCAAAAGAACGCGGCCCAGACCCTGGGCCCGATCAACTCACCACAGGCTGCCGATGCCTCTATTCACTACTCGTTCAACGTGCCATTCGCCTCCGACCTTGCGGGCCCCAATACCGAGGACATCGTCCATGCCACCACCGATGCCGTCCTCCGCTGGACGCACCCTGCCGATGCTCCCGACGATGTGCAAGTCCATGAGTTGCCGGTCCATGCCCAGAATCTGGCCAATCTCGGAAGACTATGTCGAGATTTGTCTGTTGGCCCACTGCCCATTGAGGCCCATGTCATCTCTTCCTCTCCTAAGAATGGCAAAGGCCAAGTTACTACGGTCTGCCTATCCGGCTCCCCGGAGCTAGTACACAAGAGTCGGGAGACTATTTTGAATGAGATACCCATCTCTTTGGTATGGAACCCTCGAAGTGAGCTGTATATGTTTCTACTAGGTTGCAGTGTACACTCGCAAACAAGAGTTGAGGTGCCCGTCTAACTGTGTTTGATAGCGTTGCACGACAATCGACATTGACGGAAACCTTGTTTGTGATATCAATGCTGGCGTGCTCAAGAAGCCCGTTGTAGAAACATTGGATCATATCTCTAGATTCTGTGGTGTAGATATCTTCTTGCTAGGGCCCAAGTTGACTCCCATAGTTGACGGCATGACGGGCGACTCGGAGTTGCGCATGGACCAGCGATGGAGAGTTGCTATTTACGGCGATATTCTCTCGTCAGAACATGCCAAAGCCCGTGTCTTGATTCACATTGATACTCTGGTATGACTTGTTCTCAGATTCCACAGTTCTTATTGGGAGGCAACACCCTCGTCATTGCAGAGAAACTCTGACGGAGTTGTTGTGTGTTTCTCTCTCTTTTACTAACTCTGCTTACAGCTTGGCCGTACGTTTGATGTCACGAAAATTGAGCTGTCCTTTCACCAACTTGTTTGTGGCCGCCATAGAAAGAACATCAAGTTGATTGAGTCATCTACCGGGACTGCTATTTACTTCCCACCCCTGTTCTCGCAGATGTATCGCTACTGTCCTCAAAATGCGACTCGCCGGGACCCCACCGATATCTTCATCACAGGTGAAACGATTCAGGCCATCGAACTTGCCAAGCAGAAGCTGCATGAGACTGTCTCTAGAATCCGGGTCTATATGAAGGACGTTACCATCCCCGCTGCCAAGATTGATAGTATCCTTCTAGGACGTCTTGATAAGGTTCGCAAGATTCTTGAGGCTAATGGAACGTACATCATGTTCCCCCCTCTGGCTTGCCAACGAACCATGGTCCGGGTCCAGGGGAGTGAGAGCCTACCTGTTGAACGCACGGTTCGAGAGATCATGTCACTGGTAAGTGTCCAGCAATGCTCTGTTCATACGCTCTTGTCCTGACATCCTCAACTAGGCTGGCCAATTTTATGGCGCTGGGTGGTACATGCAACAGCCTGAAGTCAGGCAGCAGCTCGCACCTGTTGAGATACGAACTATGCTGTCAGACATCTGTGCCAACGCAGAGGCGGATTTATCTTATGACAGAATGAGCTTCACTGTCACAGGATCTGATGATGCAGTAAAGTCTGCCTTGACTGTCATTTCTGATCTCAAGTTTGTTACCCAATCGCAGTATCAGATCCGTGTCAAGATTGAACTCGCCAACGAGCACAAGGAATTTGTGAGCGGCAAGAAGAATGGCAAGATCAATAAGATCATGGGCCAGAGTGAGTTCTTATCAGAGCCGCCTTACCGCATGTATTCTAACGAACATTTCCTAGGTAACGTACAGATCATCTTTGATGGGTTCAACGAATATAACTTCAACATTGATGTCATGGCAGCCAGCTACGATTCAATGAAGCAAGGTTTAACTTTGGTTGAACAGGAAATGCCTGCCTCCATCTCCTTCCATGTGCCTGATCAGTACCACAAGCGTATCATTGGCATTGGCGGACAGCATATCCAACGCATCATGAAGAAACATTCTGTCTTCGTGAAATTTTCCAATGCAATGGACAGAGGTATGACTTGATTGGCAAATCCTGCATGTCAAAGTTGTTTTTTTACTAACAGGTACCTCAGGCGGCATGGGACGCGAGGACGATGACATCAAGGTTGACAATGTCATCTGCCGTACCCCGGCTCGCAACGCCCAGAATCTAGATGCCGTTAAGAATGAGATTTTGGAAATGGTGGATCGTGCTGTAAGTGATGACCTCTGGAAACTAACAGAAGCCATTCCTAACGCTTTCGTGCCTTGTCAGGACTCCGAATACACCACACAAATTGCCAGCGTGGACCGCCTTTACCACCGTGAATTGATCGCCCGTCTCCCTGAAATCGATGAGCTGGAGCAAAAGTACAACTGCAAAATCAACTTCCCGAGCACTGAGGAAGCCAGCGATGAAGTTACCGTTACTGGCCCTCAGTGGCAGGTCCCTCACTGTGTGGACGAGCTTTTGGGTATGGTCCCTGACAAGCATGAATTGGTGCTGGCTCGCACGGCCGATCTAGTCAAGTTCTTGGAATCGCCCCAGTTCGCCACCGACCTGATATCGAAACTCAAAGCCCAGTACGAAGTGGAGGTTACGTATCATCAGAACCCGGACGAGCTGACTGAGGAAGGCTCTCCGACTGTTACCTTGGTCTGGGGTTTCACGCGTAATAACGCGGGCGGGCTCCGCGACGCCATTGATTTCCTCGAAGCTCAAATGGCTGCTGCCACCGTTGAAGCGAGCGTCGTCAAGGGATCCATCCCGCGCCCCAAGTCTGACTCTTTTGAGGACTCTTTGCAGTACTTTGATTCGAAGCTCCTCCAGCACGCTCCTGCCTCGTCCTCCAGCGACTCGCCTGTCAAAAGTGGCTTTGGTGCCGAGGTTGCTCGTGAGCGAAGCAGCATTCTTGACCGCCTTCGCAAGCCCGGCAGCATGACGTCTATTTCCTCGTTCCTTGACCGCAGAAAGAATAGCTCTCACTCGATGAATAGCAACTTCTTCAAGGGATCCAGCAACGTTTCCAAGTCGTCTTTAATCTCAATCGAGTCGACCCGAAGCTTCAACGCTGACCGAAACCCTTGGAACGACAGTGGAGTCAACCTGCCCGAGGACGAGAATCCTTGGGGACCACGACCGTTCAGCAAACATATGGACAACAAATTGGCCATCCCCCTTCCCGGCGATATTACGCCTCGCCATAATACCCGCGCGTCTGGAGACAGCGGTCGTCCATCTACTTCTCATTCCATGAATTCAGGATACCCCGCCCATATTGGGCCCTTCCGTTAGATTCCCCCGACTTAGAACACTTACATGCGAATACCCCGGCTGGATATACCCCTCACAGAATAAAAACAGAATACCCTGGAACTTCAGGTTCCATATCGGTCGGATTTTGATCTTGTTTTATAATGCGATGTTTCGAACTGAGTTGCGCTTTGTGTTTTGTTGTGATGCCGCAGATGCCTCATGAGATTTGCTTGATGTCCTTTTTTTTTTTTTTTTTTTGGTTACGTGGGCGCTTAGCTCAGTCTTGATGACTGCTATCGGTGCCTCCTTTATACCCGCGAGTTTGACCAAAGACATGCTTGAGGCCAAAAAAAAGTTTGAAGAAAATACCCTGGTTCAGATATACGTGGTAGAAGATGGGAATGATCTTCGGGGGCTTGCTCGTTTTACCCCTTGCAAATGGAAAGACTAGTGCATTGGAACTGAAGGGGTTGAGAAATGCGAAATCAATACATGGAGTGGATGAATGGTATATTTTCTGTTTTATTTTATTTCTGAAGGCAATTTGGCCCTCTAGCCGAGGTGAACAATCCTGGAGAGAATGGTGTCAGGAACTTGCCCTTTCAGTTCCGGATGAGATCTGATAGACTGCAGAACTCTTGGTTGTGGAGGTGGGTTGCAAGAACAACTGATGAAATATACCCGATTGAGTGCATTGAAATAAGGTTGCATGAATTTACGAATTGTGAATGTGTCGACTAGAATTAAGTGTTGTAGCAAAAATAAGGACAGACATCTGACCACTCGGGCGTGTCGTAAGCGTTGGGCGGCAGCTCTCTATACGTACTACTTTGCGTACTCAAATACGCCTCTACGTAGTACAGACTACAGCAATAATTATATCCTTGTAAGAAACAGAATAATGCCGCACACGAGGGCGACTGTACCCAGCGCTACACTCTGCGCCAGAGACTTCTTCCCATCCATCCACTTTTCCCAAAAGGAACTGAGAGCGAGCCATCGTGCAACGGCTGAGTTCGGGAGCATCCAGAATCCGCCGCAGGAGCAGAGGGATTCGGGGGTCGGGTTGTGTCAAGGACTTTCTCAATGTCGTTGGGGTCGAAAAAGAGCGATAATAGGTGTGTAGAATAGCCATTGACTGTAGAACTTGGGCTCTGCTCTGCTGACGAGGATACAGCTTTTAGGGTGATTTAAAGGGCACATGTAAATTAATTAAAAAAAAACCAATTCATTGTATACATGATGTAAACTAAATACAGCGTGGTATCGTCTAATGCCAAAATAGTCTATGCCGTTGAGCCCATACGCCAAAATGCCCCATCGTGATGATACAGTCTCGCCCGATCCCAATGAAAACTCGGTGGACTCTGCCGAGTTATGCCATGACAGGCCCAACCGTGACCCGCTCCCGGCTCTGTCTCGCTTCCAAAATATTCGTCTGCTTCTCTCTCCTGCGCTGCTCGGCTTCTATCCTCGCAAACTGCCCGCGAGCACCGTGCTTTAGTTTTGTAATCATGTCCGCCGCCTTGCCTTTTGTCAAATCCGACACCGTCAACGCTTTCGCCTTTCCACGTAATCTATTGACAAAGTCCAACTGTCCTTGTGTCGGCGGTAGCTTCCTCCACGATTGGTGTCGGTGGATAAAGCTATGCGGGAATGCGTTGGCCGCATAACTATCTGCTCCGTGAACCGCGTCGTTAAACGTAGCAGCTGTGAGAATCTCTCTCGGTGCGGCGAACGGGGATTTTGCCAACCCAGCAGGTAAAGCGCGGATCTCGAGTGCCCTGTACGTCGGAGATGAGGTCGTCACTGGCTCCTGGATTCGCTCGATACGGATATATGATCCGCTGGGAGCTGACAGGACGAATCTTTCGGGACCGACCTGTACCCAAGCATTCTGGCTGACGGCGCGGATGTGCCTCTCTCCAGACGTGTCAGCGATTAGGTCCAGCACAGAGGAGTAGTCGGTGAATGTGACCGCGTCGGCTGAGCTAGCTGCTGAGGTCGACCCATTCGAGTATGCTTCCTGATGCCTCGCTTCTTCTTCCCTTTGAGCCTCCTTTATCATTCTCATGTCTGTTACTGATGCCTTGTCCACCAACTCTTTCGGATCCAGACCAAATAATGTCGGCGTAGTCACAATGCCAGTTTCCAAACTTGAAACCAAATCAATGACGTGGCAATTCTTTTTCCCCGGGTGAAGCCGCATACCTCTCCCAATCATTTGAACAAGGAGATTTCGTGATCTCGTGGGTCTGCCGAGGACGATACAGTCAATGTTTGGTATGTCGGTTCCCTCGGTAAACACACCACAATTCACTAAAACAGGAAAACATCCTTTTTTGAAATCATGCAGGATCTCACTTCGTTCCTGCTTGGGAGTGTCGCCGGTCACGAAGCGAGCATCGTACCCGTATTCTCGAAATTTGCGTGCAAGCCCAGACACGTGAGCTAAATCTACACAGAAAACCAGGGTGCTTTTTCTGTCCCCGGCTTTAGCTGTCCAGCTCTTGACGGTAATGTCGTTGACTTCGTTGGTGTTGACAACCTTGGATAGCTCCCCCGTTTGAAAGTCACCAAAGGCGCCGTTTTTGACCTTGGACAGGTTGGCGGAAGACTCGACAGTGGTGAAAATGACATCCGAGAGCCATTTATCGGTAATCATGTCAACGTAGTCCTTGTGGTACACAATTTCGTCAATGGCAGCGCCAAGTTTGACACCGTCGAATCTGGAGAATGTGGCTGAGACGCCGATGAGTGTTGGTGACTCTCGTTGCTTCTGGTCTAGTCCGAAGTGCTTGAGAGTCTTGAGATATCCCGGGGCCACAATGTGGTGGGCCTCGTCCACCAAAACCAATTTAAATTCAGAGGGTTCAAACTTTTCTAAACGGTCCCTAGACGTAATGCTTTGTACACTGGCGATGGTAATGTCTGCTGCTCCCGAAGCATGAATCGAACCCATTTCAATTTCAATGGTCTTGTCCGGATATGCCAGTTGACAATGCCGGGCAGCCTGTTCCACTAGCTCACGACGATGAGCCAGAATGAGAGTGCGGTCCCCGCCATCTGAACGTGAATGCACTTTGTCAATGAGCTGGGTGAAGATAACCTGAGCCCTGTTAGCATTTGGCATGGCATTCAGAATACGGGTTGCTTGGAACTAAACACCAATCGAGCTTACAGTTTTGCCGCTTCCGGTAGCCAGTGATATCCCTACTCGTTTGTGACCTCGTCTCAGGGATAAGAGAACTGATTTGATGCATTCTTGCTGGTAGTCTCGGAGCTTTGGCTTGGAGGTAAGCGTAAGGCCAGCGACGAAGATTTTGAAAGGTGTGATCTTCCATGCAGGCTTGGTTGCCTCAACCGATGGTCTGGAGACGCATTTTGCAACGGTGCGTAGCATTGTACATTATGAGGTGGCCATGAAGTGTGTCGGCGAAATTTATCGAAACTGCCTGAGATGCCAAAATCTGGTGACAGACAGGGGCAGCTTTGATGCTGGCAAGCTGGTTGGCTGGCAAGGAAACCTTCTGCGTCGCGCCTGGACCCACTTTTCATTATGTCAGCGCGTTTGGCAAAACGTGGGATTGTAAAATATCAAGACCGGACGCAAGACCTGCTGTCAAATTGAATACTGGAAAAGGGGTTTTGCTTTTAGAATATGAAGTACGAAGATCAATGCTCATGGTGGTTATGAAATACCGCAACAACGAGCTTGTGACCTATGGATGGTGGATATGCCTCCTGAAAAAATCAAAGAGATGGTTTTAAAGCAAAGTGTTGCGTATTAGCCAAAATACTATCACCAAGGATTTTTTCTTTTCTTTTTCCAGCAGTGATACTGTAAAGCTACGGAGTTACAGTGCGACAAAACCGAACAGTGATAGTAGTCTAAAACCCCTCCGGTTAGTGGTCGTGAAAGCGTCAATGAGGCTTAGTCATTAAAAGGCTCCACCTTCCAATTCATCGATCCACCAGGATTTCTTCTCCGATTCACTTCACCTCAACCTCACTATGAAGACAGATAATTTCCAGTGTAAAGGCAAGATACTCGAGATAACCGTCAATGCTCAAATCTTTTATTAAAAGTATTACCCCTGATCCATCTTTTCTAAGAATACAACCAGCATTTATCCCTGGTACAATGTCAACACCGGCGCAGGTGCCGCTCACCGCTTTGGAAATTGTGGGAGCATGGACCCTGACGAAGACGTCGAAGAGTACTCCGTCGACGAGGAAAATTTTGCTAGCTATGAATCAGAAGCTGCAAACGCACATCTGAGAGGAATCGCCAGCAGCTACTCGGCGGTGAACCACAGTGACAGCGACAGCTCTTATGCCTTAAGCGAAGCCAACCATGTTGTATCCGAAGATGACGACCACCTAGCTAGCAGATCACCATTGAAACGTTCAGCTGAACAAGCCTTCAACAACCTTCCATTTAAAAGGCAAAAAGGTGTCTTGAATCCCGAATACCTGGATCTTCTTAATCGCGAGATTGATGACGCTGCACATCAGGTCTGTTTGGAGGACATACCAGAAGGCAAGTCCGACCTGAGAGTCGACCTGCCTGGCTCTCAGGTCGGACTTACCTTCTGGTCCACAGTTGAAAAAGCACATTTTTTTGAGTCTGTATCACGACTGGGCAAATACGATTTGCCCGGTATCGCAACCAGAATAGGTAGCAAAAGCGAAATTGAAGTCAAGCAGTACGTCGAGCTGTTGCAAACAGCCAACGATAGCAGACAGAGTTGTTTGAGACGCCGATCCTGCTTGGAGCCAGCAGAGTATCCTGCAGCTGTTGAGATCAGCCAACAGTGTTGCCATTTTCAAGAAGAGGCTGCCGATACTGTCTCAGTCCTCCAAGAGCGCAGAGAGGAACAACGAGAGAAGCTAAAATGGGGACAGAAGTGGAATGTTACTCCTTCTCTAGCCAGGGGATTAAGCCACCGTGGCGAGGAGAGCGATGATACGTCTGGCATGACGTTGAAATTCTCCGAGTTGTTTCATCTGTCTAACTGGTTACAATTGTCGGAGCGCGTGTTTATGAACTCATCGGTTCCTGGCAACAACTGGAACTACATCGACCATCAAAGACCATCAATGTGGGCCACCGCGTTCGACGACTTTTACTCAATTGCCGTTTCTGTCACCAGACGGCTCGTTCAGACAACCTTGTTTATTAGCATGTCGAGAATCAGGGCGAAGAAGGAGCTTGTTCCTACCACTCGGGATATTGTCCGGAGAAAGGATGTTGAAGCCGCAGTTGCCTCACTCGCCATGCCACATGATTCGAAATCGAGGTGGATCAAAAGCGCGAGAAGGTTGCGATTGGACGTTTTTAACGAACCGCCAGATAAAGATGACGAGGAAGCCGAAGAGGAGCCCATGACGTATGAAGAAGTTGAGACTATACTCTCTGGGAATAATGATGACATTGAAATTCAAGCTCCAAAGGGTGTGATTCTCACAGATGAAGCTTCGCTTGATGGGGATCTGAAAGAGAGCAATGAAAGTGGTGACAACGACACTGGCATTGATTCGGAAACAGAAGATGACGATGATGAAAAACACGAGATTACGCGGGAAGCTAATGAGATCCTGCTTTACTCGACCCCAGAGCTAAAGGATATTCAAGCCGCAAAGCAAGCGCTCAAACTGCGCATCACCACGGAGAGGCAACAGGAAGCGCAGGCCGAGATACACGACGAGTATGCCAGCTATCAAGCAGAGATCGAGATGTGGGATATCTTGAAGAGGAAGCCGCTAATGGAACTACCTAAAGTGGAGGATCCCGGCCCCGTGCATAGATCGATTTTGAGTGTGGAAAATGTCTATGCTCTTGGACGAGACTGGGCTTCAAAGCTGGAATATTATGGGGAATGGGAGACGTTGGATACTGCAAGGCATGATGAATAAGATGCACATGATCAATAGAAGAAGCGGCAAATTTTTTCGCCTTTGCATTTTGATTTAGTATACAACCAGATATCTGTACTTTAAAAAGAATTAACAAGTCAACAAGTTTTCATTCTTATTTCCTTGATCTTGTCCTCCGCGTTGTAGGTTTAGGGGCAACGGTCCTCCTCCTGGCTGCCCTAGTTGATCTCGACGCTGGCGTACCACCTTCTTCAGCACTCTCGTCCGCTTCGTCCTCTTCCTCCTCTTCGCCCTCGCCCTCACCTTCTTCCTCATCCTCATCCTCGTCCTCCCCGGACCCACTCTCTTCCTCCTGATTTTCAGCATCTTCCTCCTCCTCCGTTGTCTCTGCCTTTTCCTTTTCGGCCTTGTCTTTGTCCTTGTCACTCTTGTCATTCTTCTCCGGCTTAGCCTGCTGGCTTGCTGCCCTCGTGCGTCCCCTTGATCCCCTAGCTGGCCTGGCAGCTGGCGATGGCGCATCCGTGCCGTCCTCGGTGTCCTCGGCGTCGGTGGCCCTGGCCTTTGATGCGGTTCCTGATCTCTTTCGTTTTCTCGCATGCGACAGTTCGGGTGAGAGTTCCAGTTGTGGCGGAGATGTAGGGGCTTCACTAGAGTCCGCTACTGCTCTCTGCATCATGGAGTCAAGGAAATGGGAGTGAGGCAGTGTAAAGTCGACGTATTTATCTTCAGTCTCGTCATCGTCAAAGTATTCTCGCTCATCGATGAGGTCGAGATTGTAGTAAGTCCGTAGCTTGTCCCAGATGTTGGGGATTCTGGTATGCTGGTAAATATCGGGATCAAAGCCATGATTTCGCAAGTGTTCAGATATCGCAATCATCCTGAAATGCTTGTGCATGCCTAGATTAACGTGATTAGCCAAACATGCCTTGATTGTTTGTCTGCTGCGAATGGTCACGAACCCGCCGGTTTCCAGCGAATGACGCCTTTAAAAAGAGAAGCGACTTGGTCATCTGTCCACATATTATTGTAATTCGAGACGTCATGTTTCGAGGGATCCCCAGCTTCACTGGCAGCAGGGGTGTCAATGTCCATCGCATCATCGTCCCGAGTTGCGCTCGGCGTCGCGACGGCTTGGCCACGCGCACGTTTCCTGGGAGGCATTTTCGGCGTCAGGCGCAGTCGTTCTCGGCTGATCTGTACGTATGTAGGCCTGGAAACACAGCATGTAGTTGATTGGGCTGGCAATGCCTACGTTTCTGTTGCTAATGGCTGTTGCTGTTGAAGACTGAAAAGTATTGGAGAGCTCTGAGTTTGGCGATTGGTCGATGCGATCACTTGGGTCTGGCAGCCGCAGTCCACATGTTGTATGTACACATCAGGTACATGTGGGTTCTAGCGCGGGGCCACGGCAGCTCTCGCAAACGCGACCTTGCGCGTCTTCCTGAATCACTTCGACGGGCCATTGAAGCAACATTGCCTACATGTAGGTGCAGTCAAGGCAAGAAATGATACAAATCGCCTGGCAATCATAGCAATGAAGACATGACGGACGAACCAAGCGAAGCAGATGTTTTTGCCATCCCAGACTTTTGGAAGACGTCAAGGTGGCTCGATCAATTGGCTAGCGAGACGTCCACCTCACTCTTTGGCCACGGACTTGACGGTATGCGCATACACCCATTCTTCTCGTGGTGACTCTCTTCATTACTAAACTAGTCCAAACTAGCATTATACAATGTCAAGTCTACCTCATTACCCTTGGAACCGATCGCGGTCGATACTGATGGCTTCTTCAAGCTACCAGAAGTTGGCGAGTCTCACGCTGATGACCCAGACGAGCTCCAAGATTCGGACATGACAGCCTCAACTATACAAGAGCATCAAGAGTTTGAGGACAAGAGCGACATATGGACTGGAGTTTCCGAACCGCAGCCAAGGCCGTCTGCCTTCAGAACATGGGAGACATTCAAAACGGGAACGCTACAGCCATATATACCCATGCTTCTTTCTGAAGCTGGACAAGGCGCATATGATGCCCTTTTAAGCTGGCCAACGGACTCGTTAAATTTGCAGAATACGAGCACGCCGGCTGTTGAGACTAGGGCATATTTTACATCTGTGCTGGCCTTGTGTCTCGGCCGAGAATCCGTCTTCTTTGCACGAACTGCTGAAGATTGGACTTTCAAGTGCACGCTTCCAGAGTTACGAGTGTCTGGGTACAGCCGACAGGTACTTCAGGGCGTACAAAGACAAGCCGCAATGTGCGGTTCCACATTCTTACGACTCGGCGCATTTTGTCAATCGTCGTACGCTCCATCTTCAAGCCGCTGTGCTATAGCACTAGCCAGCGCCATGAGCCAAATTCTACAAGCCGTAGAGCATCGAGTCTCTGTGGATGGCCGATTTCCCGAATCGCTGCTACAACTTCAGACTACGATTAGGGAAGCATCTACCATTCTCCGTCCCCTAGACGACCTCGCAGCGCGAATACCTCGTGATCTCCCAGATGAAGAGATTTTGTCGCTCGTTTTTCGGGAGGCATCCACATTTGAATTCAGTGAAAGGTATATCAGGGATATGCTTTGCGAAATATTGCAGCGGATATCAAGCCCTTGGGTCGAGTCAGTTGAAGAATGGCTTGGCACACGGCGAGAGGTGGGCATGCCGTTTGCAAGGTCCAACATTGGGGAGACCAAGGGATTCGTCACAGTCAATGTCGAAGTCTTTATTGATGATTTCGGACGAGAGGTTGAAGACATTGACTTTCGGTTGGATACTGGCAGAGTCCCGCAATTTTTGCCTTCCGATATTGCGGAGTCCATCTTCGAGACTGGCAGAAACCTACGGTTTATTCGGACATTCCACCCAGATCACATTCTGGCCCGATCCGACGTCATCATGTCGAACCGACCGCCCGCTGCCAGATGGCTATTCGATTGGGCTTCTATTTTGGATCTTGAGGATCGTATCGCCCAGTATCAAGATGGCATACTGGATGCTATTCAGGAAAGCCGTTCCGGCACAGCATATGCCGCTGTTCACCCCAAGCTTGGAGTAGATGAGCCCGACTCTGATCTCGAGTTGAACTTTTTCGGCGTTGATGAATCCACCATGGAGCAACGGCTAATTGAGTCGATGGATCACCTCAGCCAGCCGTTAATAGAGAGTTCAAGCAATGATTCGCTAAGTCGCATTGTGCAAGAAAAATTTTCTAGCGAAATTGGAGACGATAGTATAGCTTCTGATGACACACCACACTGGTCTCTGTTGCCAATTCTGTCATTTGGTGGCATTGCGGCTGCCCAAGCTCGAATTGTAAATCGGGAAAGCCTTCGCTTGCTATTTGAGGCCAATAACGTTCAGCTTCACCTCAAACTCCAGCGAGACTTCCACCTACTCGGAAATGGCTTGTTTTGTAGCCGGCTGTCCCACGCTTTGTTTGATCCCGATCTCGAGACGACTGAAAGGCAGGCTGGTATAGCGATGCAAGGAGGCGTGATGGGCCTCCGACTGGGAGGGCGAGATACATGGCCGCCGGGAAGTTCTGAACTTCGCCTTGCCCTGATGGGAGTACTCGGTGAGGCTTATGGTTCTCAGGGGGTTATGAAGGCGTCTACATCGATCAATAGAGATTCGGGTGCTTCCCCCCTGCCGGGGGACCTGAGCTTTGCCGTCCGAGACTTGTCCGAGGAAGAAATCAACAAGTGTATGAACCCCGACGCATTGGAAGCTCTCGATTTCCTGCGGCTCTCGTACACCACACCTCCCGAGCTGACGTGGATAATTACACCAGTCCACCTCATGCAGTACGACCGCATTTTCAAGCTTCTCCTCAGGATTCTGAGGATGCTGTACGTGGTAAATCGCCTGTATCAGGACACCAACTCACGACTTAACACATGGGTCGAAGAGGATACGTCGTATCGATTCGTCAGAGAGTCGCAGCATTTCGTGTCCAGCATCGCGTCGTACTTCCTAGACAGCGGTGTTGCGATAGCATGGCAATCATTCGAGAACAAGTTGAACAGCATTCGTGTTCATCTTGACAAGCCCGATACAGCCCCAGACAAATGTGCGTATAGTCCCAACCAGCTACGGGACATGCATTCACAAGTGTTGGAACGGATCATGTACGCCCTATTTTTAAGGAAACGGCAATTGCCCGTGCTTAAGCTTCTGGAGGAAATATTTGGCATCGTCTTGCAATACGCAAAGCAGTCAAGGTTACAGGCACTCGGAGAGGAGGGCGAATCTGCCGAGTTGGCCAATTCGGCTCACATGTATGCTGAATTCCGAAAGAAGGTTCAAGTGTTTATTACAGTTTGCCGTGGCCTGTCGGAAAAGGCGAGGGCATCTAGCAAGAACACGGTAGATGGCGCATCGTTGGAAGACTCTGGCTTTGGCGATGATAGCTTGATTGCACAGTTGTTGGTGAAGTTGGATATGGGTGACTACTACTGTGGACGCTGAGTTGGCGATGGCCCATTGATCGGTCTAGATTATGACTCACGACGTATGACATTGAAGAAAAATATGATGGCGTGTTGGATTATTCGTAACGTGCCTGAACATGCGTGGTCTGTCTTGTGGCTGTGCATGTGCATGTGTATGTGCATGTGCCTATGCCTGTGCCTGTGCCTGATGTGTGCCTGCGATCAATTAGGACCAGACATCAATGATTGCACATAGCAAGCTGCCCCGCCAAAAGTCACCCCAAAACCCCTCTACGCGTGGAGACGCGCCTCCGGCGAGGTCCAGTCTCACCGATGCATTGACTTGGGGCTGGTACGGAGTAGGATCCAATTCATTCTTTTCGCATCTTTCTCCAGCTCCAAGATGGCGCGATCGAGTGCAGCTGCGCGCAATCTGTCCTTGATGGAGGAGCTGGAGAAGCTCGAGCAATCCATCACTCTGACTTTGCAAGGTAGATTCACCGCCATCACGGGACAAAGGGCTGTGTGTTTACGAGTGGCATGAGCTGACTCGCATAGAAATTGATCACAATTTCAGCAAAGCCCACCGAATCGTCACGACGAGCATCATACCAGTAGTAGAGCAGTATGGCGAGCACTCTCGCGCCGTGTGGGAAGCATCCAAGGTGGGCACACGACTGGAGGACACATGACGGGCCACGGAACCAATTTGGATGCTAATGTTTTTTGCGCAGTTTTGGAAGCAATTCTTCGAAGCGTCCGCCAACGTCTCGCTGTCCGGCTACGAGGAGCTCGCCAACGACGACGAATCGACAGTCATGGAGGACAGCACGGCAATGAGGGACGATGCGTCGGCCGACCACACACAGACACACGACGAAGACATGACAGCAACACCCGGCGGCGCACGAGACAGCACAATGCACGGAGACGAGTCGCTCCTGGACGACGCTGAACTTTCGGGTAGTACCCCGCGTCCACCAGTGACCGAGATGATAAAGGCAGGGGCTTCGGGCCACTCATCACCGTTTGACAGGATGCAGCGCGAAATCAGAGGCGATAATGACGGGACCACGGTGCTGCAGGACAACGAGGACTCCACGGTGCTTTTCGCCCAGCGAACGGCTCAGCTGCCAGATATCTCCATGACGCCCAGAGGTCCGCGCGAGGACCAGGCGGCCAGACAGCAGGCGTCGGCGAGACAGGCCAAGGACCCGCTGCTACACCGCGTGTTGGACAAGAATTACAGGGTGCAAGCTACACCGCACCGGCCGGGCATTAAAGTATCTCCCGTGAAGAAGGAAAAGGAAAAAGCAGCTTGGCAATACGACGATTCCATCATGTCATCGCCCGAAATTGCGGCGCCAACGTTGCGCAGCGAAGTCTTCATGTCGCCATACAAGTTGATGGCGCGACAACGCGCGGCGGCTCAAGCCCCGAGGACCCCCGGCGTCAGCGTCCAGACGCCGGCGACGGCAAAGAAGTCGCGCGACGTTTTTGCTTTGGCGGAAGAGGATAAAGGGGCTGGCGGTGCGGCGGCAGCCCAGGCAGGGCGCGGCAGACAAAAGTACGAAATCGACTGGGATAGCGACGAGGACGGAGACGACGACTTGTACGCAGGCATGAGTCCACCCAAGACGATTCAGTTTGTGCTGCCGCCGTCCAAGTTACTACAAACGCCAGGTGAGTCTACTTGTTGCCATGTGTTTGATGATGAAAGTTTGGGGGGGTGCTAATTCGATTACAGCTCGCGAGGCGAGCCGGAGGATCGTGGATGACATACTGATGGATGCCGGCGCAGACATGGAGTCGTCCGAGTACAGTCCGACCATGGTCAAGATGAATGAGGATATACTGGATGATAGTTTCTAGAGAAGGAAGTGTGAAAATGTCGAGATGGGTCGCCTCGTGAAATTGATACCATATTGAACCAGTATGGATCGCGATCTATTAGTGATGTTGTCACCATGATGAGAATTGTGTGTGTGTGTGTGTGTGTTTTCTTTTGGAAACATGCTTCTTTTAAAATCTCCCATCTGCTAACTGGCCGAAATTACCAGACTCTATGAAAAAAAAAGACGACGAAACTCTTGCTCGTGGAATGCCCTCCATGTCAGGGGCCTAAGTGGTCAGAGCTCATTGATTCAACAAGAAAAGAAAATTGGTATTTGATGCCAAAAAAAAATAATTAATAAAATTAAACAAGATTCATCCCATCTTTACGCTGCATGCTTTTCAAAGACGCCATTTTATTCCCTATGACCTCGTGCATCTCAATAAAGGTGTCTGGTACCATTATGCCGTTTGCCCCGTTGTTTCCTCGTCTCTGTTTGACGAGCAGGCAAGGTAGTGTATGTATGTATTCCGCCAAGTTAAGAAACCAAAAAAAAAAAGAAGAGAAAAGGAGTGGTTTTAGTTGACGAATCGGAAAGAAGGCAGCAGAGCGGTAGGCAGCTTGACCTTTTTGGTGTCCTTCTTGTCCTTTTTGTCCTTGCTGTCCTTGTGGGAGGCGACGGAGCTGGCGGCGGAGGCGCGGCGAGACTCGGCCGGGGTGGAGGCCGACGAGGGCCGGCGCGACCCGAGCATGTCGGCAAAGACTTTCTTGGATGAGGCGCGGTCGAAGATGTGAGGGGATGAGACGGGGCCGTAGGCATTGAGGGCCTGCTGGGCTTGGATGTTGGCGGCGCTCATTGTGGTTGTTTGCGTGGTGTACGTGGGAATAGTAACTACAGCACGTAGTCTTTTTGAAGGGCTTGTGAGTGTGGGAGTGTGGTGAATTGCCTTGGTTGTGATGTGTGTGTGAGTTGTGGGATAGAGAGGCTGCGATGGAGGCGGAGGTCTGGCAGATACTTATAGTTTGTTGCTTGAACAAGATTTGTCGGACGTGGTGATGGCTACTTGGTACCTAGCCCAAGGCCGTGTAAGTGGTTTACGTCTGGTGGTACGTAGCAGATGGAGTCTGGTGCCTGGTGGATGAACTGGATCGCGACTGGCAGTGGGGGTAGCCGGTCCGCAGGCGGGGCTGTGGGCCTGCAGGGGTGGGGGCTGCCGGTCTGGTGTGTCGATTGTCGTCGAGGCGTTGCGCGTACTACAGCCTTGTCGTCAACGGGCTGGTGCAAATTTCTCAGGCTGCATGTGCGCTACGCCTCCCGCTGCGCCAGCGCTGGGCCACCACACCAGACACCAGTGACCAGTTGACGTGCAGCCACACACAGTCACTCGCCGGCGCCGTGAGTCACCTGGCAAGGCACCAGCAACGGCTGCGGCACCCGAAAGCCAGGCGGCGTCACAGGTTTGCGTGCGCACCAGACTTGACAGGAATTGATCGACGTGCTCACTTGCACCTTCAGCTTCCCGCCTTGTCCATGGCCTGAGGCCCCTGCCCTTTGCTGCAGGGCGGGAACACGGCCCACGGGAATTACTAGCTCGCCATTCCCGTGAATGGTTCACCGTGACACCATCTTTCATTCCTTCTCGTAATCATTCAGGTCAGGTCAGGCCAGGCCAGGGGGGTGCCGTTCGAAAATGGCCGCCAGAACTCGATCGATCCAAGCTTGCAAGGGACCGAAAACTCTTCTCCCACGTGCTGGGCAGCACCCTTTACCGGTCTTCTCTGTTTTTTCTCGGCGCTTCTTTTTTAGTCACACGTTTCCACTGTGTCGTCTAGCCCTGGTGCTTGACTGGCTCAGAGTCTGTGGGACGGGTTGGCGACATTTTGGGCTTATTTTTTAGTCTCTCTCTCTCTCTCTCTTTTTTTTTTTTTCCACCCTCAAATGGAGCCCCTGGCCGCCAGACCGGCTGTTGGTCAACAACGGCGGCAATGCGCGTTGCCAGCCGAAGCCAGCCGCTGGCGTGTAAGTTGCGGCCCGCGCCAGCACTCCCCCCCTTTCCCTTTTTTTTTTTTCTAAACCCCCCTCCTCCCTCGAACCTCACCTGCAGACCGTTGTGTTGCAGTGGATTCACAGGTGACGGTGCAAAGTGCCAACGGAAAAAAAAATTTTCTGACCAAGGCTGCCTTGCCTGCCTGACCTTGTTGGTCTCGGGGCAAAGTGGGGCCTGGGCGCCGAACTGCTCCGGGCTTGGACGGCCGCTGGGGCTGCGCCACTCCGTGACACGGTTGCCTTGGTGGGCGGGATGAGTACCCGGTGCGTCTAAGTAGAAGTCTGGTGAATTTTTTTTATTTTATTTTTTTGTCTTTCCACAGTTCCATCACGACGTATCCTCGCATGCAACACTAGCAAAATAAGGTCGAATGGTCTCGTTCAGGCTTTTCACGTCGGGCGAACCAGGGACCGTTCCCCTCCCATGTCCCACCGGGAGCGGCAAGCTCAAACCCTCCTCACCTTGACGTCTACACCGTCCGACTTTGTACGTAATAAGGCTCCGCAAGTGTTTGATTCTTGACGCCGGCGCCATCGATACACGGCCCCGTGTTGGGTCTCGTGGCCCGACTCTTGCACATGGGGGGGAGTTGCACGGTCAAATAGAATCAGGAGGGCGACATGTTTGGACGTCCGGCCGTGGTAGGTAATATATTGGTTCGTTTTTATTTGATTCTTACTTGTGGCCCGGGTCGGCGTCGACCAGAAAGCGCCATCGGGTGGCGCATGTTGCACCACGATGCATGGCAATGGTACGATCTCGGGTGTGATGTGATTCCTTGATGGCCGCATGGCAAATCACTGGCACCATGACTGCGCAGAGGACCGCTGGGCCGACGGTCTGGCCACGGCTCGACGTCTACCGAGCTGGTTTGTCGTACAATTCCTTCTCTTGTAGCATTGGTGCGAGGGCGTCTTGGGGCGTCTGGAACGTGTCAAGTCGGATACCGAGAGCGTGCTCGGCCGTGGGCCAAGAGCCGGGCGGCGGTGCGTTGCAACAAATCACCTTTACCTTACAACATGGACTAGATGCTCGGGCACGTCAGATCCTGCACAGGCAGACTGAAGGCTTTGACTCGAAGCGTTCACAACATCATTGCCTGGCACCAGCCGTCTGCCTGGAAAACTTGGGCCATCACGCAGTCCAAAAATTTTGCCTGTTGCACGGCACATTTCACTGTAAACCTTTTGTCGGACTTGTCATGGGATTGTCACTTGTCATCTCTTTCTTTTCAAATGCCGTCAGTACCATTCAAATCCTCAGCTTACTACAATCCACCCTCGCCATGTTGTCAGTTCTGGCAACCAAACATCAAGGCCAATATCTCATTCCATGTGAGCGATTCTATTCAAAGTATTTTGAGGGCGATTCTGCTCAAAACCGCTGTACGATTGCACCCACGTGAGCGGAAAGGGCTCGCCATCAAATAACAACCGCCACATGCTCATCCATAAATTGAGCAATGTCTTGAACAAAAGCACTGGCGACAATCGACACGCCTCCAAAGGCTATGCTGCAATAATATACCCACGGATACGCCATGGCGTATGCATTCTGGCCCGCTAGCACAATCGACTGCCAGAGCTCCACGTTGCCGTCAACGCCTGGAAGGTGAAGGATTTCCTGTGTGAGAGACGCGGACGTGAGCTCAATGGCCGCCTTGATCACTTCCGGCTCCTTGACGCCGCCAAGGACCATGGCGGTCGATACTTGCTTGATGAGCTCTGGCGTGAGCTTCTGTACCAAGACGTTGTAGTAAATGGCATAGCCTATTGCTCCGCCAATGACCCTAACGGACAGTGTCAAGGCAGTTATCGTGGCAATGAGGTCGTCGGGACAAATAATTGTCGTAATACACTAGTTGGAATGACGATGCCTCCTACGCCGAGACCCGAGACGAGAAGAATGGCATAGACGGCCTTTTCGTTGTCACGGTTCGCGGCCGCCATGGCACCGCATCCTGCCGTCATGACGCACGACGCAACAAGCAAGAGAACTCGAATGCCCCGGCCGCGTAGCCACGTCATGAGTCCCAGCGTAATCACGCATCCTGCCATGACGCCGAATCCAAACGGCAGACCACGCAGGCCCACGGCAACAGGATCGTGGCCATACACATTGTAGGCCTGGGTTGGCCACAGCATCAGCACGGAGAAGAAGTTGGCGCCAGAGATGAAGGCGATGAGCATGATGAGGACCAGCGTCCGCGGGGCTTTACCAAGGCGCCTCGGCACCATTGGATACTTTGCAACCCAGCCCTCCCAGTAAACAAAGAACAGGATGAGGACCAGGCCAATGATGAATGGCGCGAGGACATGGGCGCTCTTCCACGCATACTGTATACAGACTCTCAGCTATTTCGCCTGTGCCGGGAGAAGAAGGACACGACGTACCATGTATCCGCCCCAAAGAATGCCGGCAATGAGCAGGATGATGCCCGTGATGGACGTGAGGCCGCCAACGAAATCAATCCGGGACACCGTCTCCTTGCCGGAGAGAGAGGCCGAGTTGACCCGCGGAGGCGGGCTGTAGAAGAAGAAGGCGACGGCAAGGCCAACGGCCGTGTAGGCGATAATCATGACGCCCACGTAGCGCCAGTGGGCATTGGCAGCAATCAACTGCCCCCACATGACGGAGGGACACCAGGGCAGGATCGTCATGATGAGAGCCGCAATGTAGACGCCGCGTTGCGCGGTGGGCGCAATCTCGGCCAATCCAGAAATCGATATCAGTTCGGAGATGCCCGCGCCGACGCCGGAGAGCGCCATACCGGCTGCGGACGAGACAATGTAAGTTGAAAGAAGGAAAAAAGGTTTCTGCTCGAGGGTAACCGACTCACCAATAAAGGGGTTCATCTCGTGGGCCGTGACGCAGACAATCTGGCCGATGATGATGAAGGCGCTGCCCAGCATGGCCACATAACGGCGGCCGAGGAGGTCGGACAGCGCTCCGACAAAGGGGGCCACGGCGGCGAGTGCAATCAGGTTGGCGGTGATGAACCAAACCCATCGGTCGACGCCGCCAATGTCTCCGTAGACGATGGGGGCGATGCCACCTGTTCAAGGGGTGGCCATGAGCAACTTTTTCTTCCGGCGGTCACGCTGGCGAGGCAATCGTCCCTCACCGTAGAGATAGGGCGGCATTTGGCCGCTCGTCCAGCAGAATGCCATGGCAACAAAGGCCATGAGGCGGCGAAACGTAAACTGTCGAGCAAGAGTTGGTCAGCACTGGTGAGTCCCGTCTCGAGGAGAACGCGGGGGTGGCTGTAATGACCTTGTTTGCGTGCTCGTCTTCTTCGACTGTGGCCTCGCGCGACGATTCTTCATCTCGCCAGGGCTCGACTGTCGTTGGGTGAGCATGTTTCTCTGGCTTGTCGATGCCCGAGGGCGTGGATGGGACGACGGCCATGGTCAAGCGGGCGTGGGTACGCAGGATCAAGGTTCGATGTCAAGAAACGCAAAGGGGCGTGGGTGCGCAGGATCAAGTTCAAGAAGAACAAAAGAAAGGGTCCGGTCGAAGGGCGGAGTTGTTCCAACCGCACAGTCCACATCGCTTCTGTCCATCCGGGGACACGCCACATGCAGCTTTTCATCACGTATTTATACTGCTCGCTGCTCGCTGCTCGTCCACGCTCGAGGTCCATCGTGGGACGACCCATGGCTGATCAAGCTCGATGGAACTGCATAGGAATCCCTGTCCATCCGGGAATATTGAAGCCTCCTCCACGTTGCGATGGGGACGCTAATGGAAACTACGGCATTCAGGGCTGCACGGGGCGTTTTCCCCGCATTACCGAGTACTATCATGAGATGGATGAACGGGGGGAGCAATATCTGGAAATGGGGCCCATCTCCGTCGTGCGAGAATAAACCCCTTGATTGGGTGCGCCACAATTATCCTCACCCGCATTTCCCGGAGATAATGTGCATTTGGCAGCTTTTGCCTCCGGACCACCAAAACGTCAAAAACGCCAACGCGATTGGGTCAACGGTGGAAGGCCTCGGCACGGAGCCTCGAATACAAAGCCTTCATTGGCTTGGATAATGTCAATGTGTTGCCTTCTCCAATTTGAGAGCATGAATACGAATGTCTAGTGTGGATTAGATCTCGCTGGAGGAGCAGAAAGACTCAACGTCACGCTTTGGTGAGACTTTGTCAGAAATAAAAATTGTATCCACCATGACAAAGACTGGTCTGATTCGTCCCATGTGAGAGGTGGCAGAACTGACAATGCCACGCCAACGGTTGAGTGCAAAGATATGAACAACAACAGATGACTATCGGGCAGGAATACTGGCTTGTCATGCACCCATCCGGTGTTGATTTGTCGTCTTTTTATTTCACCATGTAGTATTTGTATCAATGAGTAATGACATTACATCCTTGACACCTGCCTGTTTCACGGCGATTGCCAAGTGGCCTTATCCTGAATGTGGAGACGAAGCGACCGACTGGACATCAAACTGATGCATCGCCCAACTCCATCGCTTTCTTTATTCAGTCCTCATCCAAGCTTGGGTCCTCAGTCGACAATGGCACACCAAGCGCACAACATTCCGTGGCAAGCCTTGACCAGTCATCTCAAGCCCGTCTTCCGCAAGTACGACGGTGCCGATGGAGACAAGACGTCGAATTTCTATGTCTGCTACAAGCCCCAGCAGGGCAGGCAACTCACCTACTTTGCCACTGCATTCGCCCAGAACGTCGAGCAACACACTGAATGCGAGCGTAGAAAGTACCAGGATACATACACGGCGCCCGCCCGGCATGACTTGATACTAACCGACGCCGTGGCCAAGAAGCTCGCCCCAACCGTGCTACGCTTGCGACAACGATCTCTGGCAGATTCAGACGGGAGGGATCGATACACTGATCAGCCCTTTGACCAGTCAATGTCGAATGATGCCACACGGCTTTTCTGCCGTCATGGGGATGGGCAACCGGGCTTTGGCTGTGGATGCGTTATTCCTTACTGCGAACGGCAGGCCGCTGCCTTTCTTCGAGAATACGTGCCAAACCCATGTTTCCAATTTTTCCAACATAACGCAGAGGCATTTTATAACCTTGAAATTCTGAAGCTTTTGTTATTATACGGCGAGATGGATCCCATCCTACGCATTTGCGCTCATCCCGAAGTCGACTACGAAAACTGGCATCACGTAGGGCCATGTTACGATGAGGTAAATGATATCCATCGCCTCAGTCAAAACTCTGCTAGTCTGGTCTATGATGGCGGGGGAGAAAAGGGGAAAACACTAACAAAGGCAGTTCCCCGATGTGGGTTGGGATCGTATTTACATAAACGCACTAGACGCATACCTGTGTCTCAACATAGTTTACTGCTTCCCTGAGGTATGGGAACCGGCGTCTGGTCGAACGGCGAGGCAGGATTACCGCAACACATACATGTACCAGCGCGTCATGGCCAGTTGCACGTCATTCAGAGCCACCTCGGAGGTTCCAGCATTGCCTCATCGGCAGTTCTTTGGCGTTTCGAATGACGAGACGTACCGCAAACGACGAGGGGACGTGTCATGGGAACGATGCAAACCCGGCCATGGGATACTGCCATGGAAGGAATTCCTGGCAGAGGAGAGGTTGACACCGGATCCTGTTGTTGAGTCCTTCGCCATCAACTATGCATGCAAGGTGTTGATGGACAAGGGGCTCCCGGCAGAGCTGATATCGAGCATTTTGGACTACGTGGACCATGCCACGCAGAACAGGCTTGAGAAACCTCTTGATCCGTTCCATCCGGTCAATGGCCACCAGTTGCGCCGCTATTTGGCATATTGCTGGCAGCTCATAATTCGTTGCAGCATGCTGGCGCACGCACTGGGTATGAACTTGGACTGGAAGGCAATAGTCTCTGAACGCCTGGTCGAACTCGTCTCGAGAGGTGACGGAAAGTGGTGCACGTATAGAATTGACTCTGAAGGTGACTATTGGGGGTTTGTGTAACGAATTAGATTTGTGATGGGTCATGGGGGATATAGTATACCCTTGTCCGGATATACTGAACATTGGAGCTATTGAATTATGAGAATCGTGGACAGAGGTTGGAACTGATCAGGACAAACAACATAAAGTCGAGGGAAGAAGGCCGTCTGCAGTACTGCAGTTTATACCAGCCCCAGTAATGTCACAGCAAGATTAATCGCAAGATGAATTTTGGATTCAAGGTGTCCAACATAACGGTCCGTAGTGTCGACTGCCTTTTCACAAGAATAGGAATCTAGACAGAGAAAAGATAAAGTTGGCTCGCTCCAGGGTAGGTGTAGGACAAAATAGTGGTCATGTGTGGGGCCAACCAAACCAATTGAATGTTTTTGGCGCATCCAAACCTTCAAACTTGCTCCCCACCTACGGGGTACAATTGTCTGCTGATGGGTTTATCGATAAGCCAGAAATATCCATGGCCGGCAGAAAATTTCCCACGCCAAACGGGCAAATTCTTGGTCATGGGAGTCTAGCACTGCACATGGTGTTGAGGAATAGCAACCATGGAGCAACAAGTGCACAAGCCGCATCGCAAGTCCAAGGAGAAGAAGAAGCACACGGGAGGTAAGGCTATTATTTTTTCCAGTCCTGAATTTATTGCGATTGGAACTAATCTTGATACTGACCGAGGCGCAGACCATAATCCCAAAGCCTTCGCCTTCTCCAACCCAGGAAAACTGCAAAGAAGTGCAGCTAGATCCCAGGATGTACGGTTTTTTTTCCCTCTCGCACGCCCAACAGCCCGGCGAAAGACTTCTGACATTGAAATCTACAGATTAAAGAGAAGCGCCTTCATGTACCGCTCGTCGACCGACTTCCCGATGAGGCTCCGCCTCGTCTCGTGGCCATCGTCGGCCCTCCTGGCGTTGGCAAGACTACACTTCTAAAGTCCATGGTTCGGCGTTATACAAAGGAGACTTTGTCGGACCCCCAGGGGCCCATAACCGTCGTCACCTCGAAAAAACAAAGACTGACCTTCATCGAATGCCCCAACCAGATGGAAGCCATGGTCGATATCGCCAAGGTGGCAGACATTGTACTGCTCATGATTGACGGGAATTATGGCTTCGAAATGGAGACAATGGAATTCCTCAACGTCCTTGCCGCCACAGGTATGCCTGGAAACGTCTTTGGCATCCTCACACATCTGGATCTTTTCCGCAAGCCACAAGCCCTGAAGGATGCCAAGAAGAGGTTAAAACGCAGACTTTGGACCGAGTTGTATCAAGGCGCTCATCTGTTTTATCTGTCTGGTGTCATGAATGGCCGATATCCCGATCGCGAGATTCACAACCTGTCACGATTCGTGTCCGTCATGAAGAATCCTCGACCCCTTGTATGGCGCAACAACCACCCATACTCCATCGTCGACAGTTTCCGTGACATTACGCATCCGACCAAGATTGAAGAGGACCCCAACTGCGACCGATCGATCGTTCTGTCTGGGTATTTGCGAGGAACAAACTTTGCGGCACAGGGACAACGAATACACGTTGCCGGGCTTGGTGACTTTACAGTAGCCAATATGGAGGTCTTACCAGACCCCTGCCCGACGCCTTCTATGGAACAGGCGCTGGCCAAAATAACGGGGAAAACTGGCAGACGGCGGCTGGACGAGAAAGAAAAGAAGCTGCATGCCCCCATGTCAGACCGAAGTGGCCTGAAGATTGATGGCGATGCTATATGGATCACTAGAGAAAAAGGCTTCAGCTTCGACAAGGATGCAGAAGGCGTTGAGCGGGGCGAAGGTGAGGAGATGATTGTTGGTCTTCAAGCGGAGCGACGGTTGCTGGGTCAAATGGAAGATGGCGTTCAGTTGTTCTCTGGCGGCGAGAAACTCAAGGAAGTTGCCGAGGAGGAAGATACAGGCCGGAAAACACAACGTCGTGCTAGAATTGCCGAGAGAAGTGAATCAGATGTTGAGGATGAGGGCATGGACGACGAGGACGAGGAAGAAGATGAGGGCTTCGTCAGCGGGAGTGGTGATGAGGACTCTGACGCCGAGGTAGAGTTCAACGAAAGTAAAATGGGCAAAATGTTCCGCAAGGATGCCGATAAATCCAAGGGAGAGGATGATGTTGCTTTTGCCGATAGCGACTCAGATCTCGGGTCCATATCTGGAGACGACACGGGTATGGATGATGAGGATGAGGATGAGGATTTTACTTCCGATGAAGAAGCCGCTGCCATGCGCTGGAAGGACGACTTGGCGGACCGAGCTCGCAAGATGCATGGAAAGAGACGGACGTACCACACCAACGACCTGGCAAGATACATGTACGATGATTCAATGACCCCTGAAGAGGCTTTGAAGCGATGGAGAGGTGAAGACAATGAGCCCGAAGAGGAGAACATTGAGGATTCAGACGACGATGAATTCTTCAAGAAGTCCTCACAGGAAAAGGAAGACTCAACCGAGGATCGCTCAATACCTGACTACGACTACGAGGACCTGGCGGCCAAATGGGCTGAGCGAGACAATATCGAGGCCCTGCGTAGGAGATTTACCACCTCTGACCTCGGGGGAGATGATGATGGGGAAGAAGGCGAAGCTGACGGCGACGACGATGACTTTGGTGGCTTTGGGGATGACGATGATGAAGGTGACGGTGTTTTCGAGGATCTGGAAGCTGAGCCTGCTGAAAAGGAACAAGAGACAGCAGAGGATATCGCTGCCGAGCGCGAAAGGAACGCCAAGCGTAAAGAACAGCTTAAACAACGCTTTGAAGAGGAGGACAGAGAGGGCTTCCTCAACGACAAAGCCAATGCTCGGAGAGAAGGCGGTGATATCCAAGAATACGGCGAGGACGATTGGTACGATGCTCAAAAGGCCATGATCCAGAAACAGCTCGACATCAACAAGGAGGAGTTTGAGACTCTGGACGAACGACAACGCGCAGCCGTTGAGGGCTACCGCGCCGGCAAATATGCCAAGATTGTACTTGAAAAGGTCCCCGCTGAGTTCGTTACCAAGTTCAATGCTCGTCTGCCCATTGTGGTAGGTGGCCTTACTGCGACTGAAGATCGATGGGGCTTTGTGCAAGTCCGAATCAAGCGTCACCGGTGGCACAAGAAAATTCTTAAGACCAACGACCCCCTTATCGTCTCCCTTGGCTGGAGACGTTTTCAAACGATGCCCATCTACAGCACGACGGACTCGCGAACCCGAAACCGCATGCTCAAATACACCCCCGAGCACATGCACTGCTTCGGCACCATGTACGCTCCTCTAATCGCCCCCAACACGGGCTTCGTCTGCTTCAACTCCTTCTCCGCCTCCAACGCAGGTTTCCGCATTGCCGCCACAGGAACAGTCCTGAGCGTGGACGAGTCGACTGAAATCGTCAAGAAGCTCAAACTCACCGGCGTCCCCTACAAGATCTTCAAAAATACCGCCTTCATCAAAGACATGTTCAACTCTTCTCTCGAAATAGCCAAATTTGAAGGCGCATCCATCAAAACTGTCTCGGGCGTCCGCGGCCAAATCAAGCGTGCCTTGTCCAAGCCAGAGGGTCACTTCCGAGCCACCTTTGAGGACAAGATCCTCCTCAGCGACATTGTCTTCCTCCGCGCGTGGTATCCCATCAAGCCGCACCGCTTCTACAACCCTGCGACCAATCTGATCGGCTGGCAGCCCATGCGTCTCACCGGAGAAGTGCGTCGTGACGAAGGCGTGGCCGCTCCACAGCTGAAAAACAGCCAGTATCGCAAGATTGAGCGGGAAACGCGACACTTTAACCCCCTGAGGGTACCTCGCGCGCTGGCCGCTGACTTGCCTTACAAGTCGCAAATCACAACCACCAAGAAGCAAAAACGGGATACTTATATGCAGAAACGAGCGATTGTGCTGCCCAAGAACTCGGAGGAGAAGAAGGCCCGCGCCGTTATGCAGCAGCTTCTTACCATCAGAAACGACGCGGCTGCCAAGAGGCGTGCCAAGAAGGCAGAGAACCACGCGGCGTTCAAGAAGAAGCTCGCCGACAATGAGGAGAAGAAGGAGGCCAGAGAGAAGAGGGAGACCAAGGAGTTTTGGAGGAAGAATGGGCGGAAGAGGGGGGCAGAGGATGGTGGCAGTGGTGGTGGTAAGAGGCGGAGGTAACGGTTTCTAAAGTCAAAAGTTTTGGGGGATTATTGTCGGCCACCTGGTGTAAATAGTGCATAGTGCTTGGGACGGCGTAAAGTAATGTTGGTCACACTTTTTTTCGACACTGCTACAGATAAATCTTGCTCGGGTGTGCATCTTTATCTGCCAGGCAGTCGCCGTGTTACTGTATTCAAACCAATTGAAGATTGAACGGGGTAACAACCTCCTCTTCTAACCGTGCTTCATATGAAGGAGGCCAACCACTCTTGGTGAGCTCTGGGAGAAGTGTCATGATGAAAGGAAGGAAGTTGAGCGGCAGAAAGAGGGGTCCGACTGCTTCTTGGATAGCAGCTTTCAATCAACTGCTAGCATCATGCAGAAGACAAGGGAAGGGCAGATAAGGCGCTACATTGGAACTGAATTTTGTCCTGATGGTGTTGCAGTAGATATTGATTGTCCTTGATGGCTTTTCCAGCAAAAAGACATGGAACCGTGTAGTTTGAATAGTGCATTCGGCAACCTGCCCTAGACGTAACGAAGTCGTAACAGTCATGGTGAAAAGGGAAACATGAGACGACCAAAGCTAGCCATGATGATCTCTATGTAAAGCTGAATCCATACGCATTCCCAGGTATCGCATGCAAGTGTGGTCACTGTTCACGCTTGCGGGCATGGCAGCGTCTCATTCTCATTTATACGCATGACTTGCGCAACGTCATCGAGCGTATCTTGTTGCTTCCTTTCCAACGGCGTGGATTAACCAGGCCCACGTGAAGTTGCTTTTAAAATACATAAGCTATAAGTGGACTTGAGCCTTGATAATAACCCAACTGCCCAATTGCTATAGACGCTGGTCGACGAAATGGGAGAAGGGGAGAAGGGAAGAAGGGGAGAAGGGAAGAAGGGGAGGGGCTCGGTAGGAATTTTAGGAGCCAGAGCTCTCTAGAGGGCGTCGTCGTGTCGAAAAGAGAATGAACCATGATTCTGTTTCTGTGCTGACTCTCTTATGGCAGTCAAAAGTTGCATGGAGATAGACCTGCAAGCTGCTACTTGATAAGAGATGAAAAGTTCAAGTTTTGGAAGCTAAGCCAAGTAGCTACTTATCTCTTGTTTCACTTTCAAAAGGACAGAAAGCGTCAAATCCCTGACACAAGATAGCCGTTCAATCTGTATTTGTGCAATCTCGGTAGTGAATGCGTTACAAGAATGTCCAGCACGGACAAGGAGCCCCCAAAACTAATAAATATGTATTCACAACACTCAACACACTTCCGACCAGTGGACTCCAGCGCCGTTGTAAGCAGTCCTTGTCCTTGATAAAAAGCGAGATTTGAAAAGGAAACAAATCGTAACCACATCCATTAAAAGGTGAACTACGTGGGTTGTATGATACCCATCTCCGTACAGAACTTGTCCTACAATCTCCATCACAGCCGCAGTCGTCTCTCTTCTGTTTCACACAGGAGAAATACTCTCCAACGCCACTGCATTCTCTTTACACTCCTTTCATTTCCCCTCAATTTTGGCGGTCGAATCGTTGTCGAGAATTTCTCGAGGCAAAATAACGAATGTTCCAAGTAAACCCAATGCAGCCCGAATAATTCCAAATTTGTCCGGCCCGTTGATGGAGAAAAAGACATGCGCCTCGTTAAAAAGCAGATCAAAAGGCTTATCGCCTAGTCCAGCTATGCCTTCTTCCTTTTATCTCGTGTACACGTGGAATTTGTCATGGTGAGCCACCTAGGAAGCAACCAAAGGCTCTGTCTCGGGGATGACAGGTTCCTTGGGAACCTCGCCCTCAGGCTCGGCCGTCTTCGTAGACTTGGGCTCCTCGGTGGGAGGAGTAGGGAATTCGGGCTTCTTGGCAGGAGCAACGAGGGTAGGCTGCTTAGGGGGGCCGGAAGGAGCAGGGGCGCCACGGCCACGGAGCATCTCCTGTACCTTGCCGGTGTAGTCTCCAGCGTACTGCTTTCCCATGGTGGTGAGTTGATCGGCCTGCTTCTGGGCAACGCTTCGGACCTGAGCAGTCTGGGCACTAATTGCATCGGAGGCGTTCTTAAGGTGCTGGTCGATCAACTCCTGATTGGATGTGTAGACGAGAGGAACGAAGAAGGCAACAGTTGTGGCAATGATGGCGAGTCCCCAGTATGGGACAAGCTTGACGAGATGGTAGGAAATGAAGGCCGCAATGCCTGCCTATGGTTGACACTGTTAGCCCCTCTAAAAAATGGTTTCAAGACGAAGCCAGGACCTACGGCAGCAGAAGCACCGACGTTCTCAACAAAGAGAATTCTCTGGGCCTCAATAACGAAGAAGTTGATGAGTTCATGAACATCCCCAATCATGCCATCAACAGTAGCCCGTGAAACGGTCCAATAATGGCGAGGTCGCATCTGAGTAGCCAGGCCGTGGCTGAGGACGACCTTACCAGTAACTTCAGCGGCAACTGTGATGGCAAGAGCCATGAAAGACAGCTTGAGACCCCAGCGAATCACATCGAGGTACCTAACGGCGAAGATGAAGGAGACAATCGAAGCGTATGCGATAGCGGAGGCACCTGACGCAGAAAGTTATGCAATTGTCACAGCCAGCGATGATGGTGTCCATCAAGTGGGAGGTCGGAGGACAAGAGCAGACTTACGAGGGTTCTTCCATGACAGAAGCTCCGAGAAGAGGGAGTGATAATGTGTAAGAGGCTGGCCAGTGGCAGCAGGTGTCGTAGGAGTCTTGCGAGAGGCGGCAAGGTTGGAAAACTCAGCCTGAGTCTTTGCGTTCTGGTCTTTGACATTCTGAGCAACGGGACCTGGATAAGGAGAGACGGACGGGTTAGCGCGCGGGCACACAAGATAGCATGCAGAAGGTATTTTTTTCCAGTGTGAAGATGCTCACCATTTGTCACAGAGTCGTAAGCAGCAGCGGCACCTGGGCAAATTGAGTTAGGTCTTGCATCGCGTTCTGCGGGATAGTAGCATCACCATATCGTCACATGTGAAGTTACTTCAGCTTCTGGTCAGCGGGCCTTGTTGTAATGTGGACAATCAAAGGGTGCCGAATAGACATACCGTACTGTTCGTGGTGGTCTCCAAAATGGAGCCACCGTTGGGCGCGGTATCAGCCATTGTGAATAGGGAAGTTGGATGCGACTTGAGCAGGTATTCCGATGTTGTGGTATGTTTTTTTTTCTTCGGAGGTGCGCAGGGGTTCGGGTTGCAAGATTGGAATATTTTCTATTTCTAGGGGGCGGTGGGCCAAGAGGGCCAAAGTGTAAGCAAAGGAAAGCTCTGGAGCTCCGTATCAGCAAAGCTAGTGAGCTGGCCCAGGCGGTAGGGTCGATGGTCGATAGCTCCGTAGGTGGAGAGATGGAGAGAGCAGCGTCACGCAGGGGGAAATCTTGTGCAGGGGAAAAACAAACAGGGTGTCTCGGGATTCAGGTTCGAGGTGATAAATATGGTGGATTCGTACCTTGGGAAGAGTGTCGAAGCTTGCAGTTCGAAAGCAGACGAGAGGTTTGGTCTGCGCTGTGTTTGAGGGGTAGAGGAGGAGGGAAGAAGGAGACAGGCGGAAGGAAGGACAGAGTTGGGAAATAACTACCAAGGTACGGAGTATGGAGTACGGAGTAGGCAGTAGATGACGGAAGACGGAAGCTCGGGATAAGATAGCGACACATCACGCACAGGTAGGTGCCAGGCTCAAGCGGGAGCAAGAGCAGCACCAGCAACAGCACCGGCAACAGCAGCAAACAACAACCGGTGCAGCGCCGCCAGACAGCCTTGGAAGCCAAGCAAGTTACTCGGTACCGTGCCATGCCTTCAATGTTCCTCCAGAGTGTGAGAGGGCCTGTCCACGTCTACTCCGTACAAAAGCTTCATTCAATCATCCAGACACTGGTTGGGGTGCATGTGCGACGCCTTCGTGGTCAGTCTGTCTGATGGTGGCGGTGGTGGCCCCCCCCTTAGTCCAACGCAGGTTCACTGCCCCGTACACTCGATATTTCGAGCTCATGTTCTTCTACTCGTCCCTTCATTACAAAATGACTCTCGACGTCTTGGACCAAACACTACTCCGTAGGGCCGGAAAAGCATGTGCCAAACGCCAGCGCAAGCGTCTCCCCGGCCAGGGAGCGAGACAACTGCTGTCCGGTGGAGCTTGGAGCTTGCCAACCAGTAACGATCAATTGATGCCAGCTCGAATGCCATGACCAGTTCAACACATGCGCGCTGATACGGCCGCGGAGTGCGTTGGGGTCCCTAGTCGCTCGAGAGATGCGAAGCTAGCGAGGCCCGTTGGTCATTAATTAGGCTGTTTACACGACCGAGGTTTGTGTGCCCACAGCAACGCAAAATCAGACCAGATATGCTTAGATTGACTCGACACAAGTGACGACCGGCGGGACACTTGACAACCAGTCATCCTTTGACTTCTCGCGCCAAATGTGTCATCAGCACGCCGGCGTCATATGATAACAACGCCCACTGGTCTTTCGCGGAACATGGTGTTCTATAGCCTGCATTGCATGCACGTGGTTTTATTGGCTGGCCCGGCATCACAGGGAGAAGCAGCCCCTGTGTTGATCCTGTTCTCTCCCCGGAGCGTGGCCAGCTTTGTGTCCCAACTGCCCAAGCCAGGCGCTTGCATCAACTACAAAGCCTTGTCGTCCATCATATCCGTCACTGTGCGCTAGACACCCGAGGCTAGCTTGGCTGCTCACGCGACATCTCGACAGCCTGGCGTTATCGTCCCGCCTAGTTCCAAAGCCAAAGTTGTGGAGGGGAAGCTCCGTTATCGTTATCGGAGCTTGAAGGTTGATGCCCAGCACCATACGAGATACGACGACTTCGCAAAAGCAGTCTGTAGACGTAAAACTAGAATACCTACTAGGTCCCTAGATAGGTCTCTTGCCAGCTCGAGGTGCTCGAACGGCTAATGATGCGACTTTGTTCCGACTCCCTGCAGCAAACAAGGCGCGATGACGTTGACCACTCTGTCCATCATCCTCTCCCGCTTGGCTTGTCATC